GGTCCGCCATTGTCTCACCACACGAGGCAGCTGTGGCATCCGAGCGTGAGTCCTACTATCGGCACCCGTATCAACAGCACGCCCAGGCCCCAGTTGCGAGCCCACCTGCAGGATCTCTTCACTACGCCAACCCACCTCAGGCGCCACGGGACTCCTACACAAGCCAGGCTGCCTATCCTCCATATGGTGGGGGCCCGACATCACACGCTGGCTCTCCCCCTCCTTCGTACGCATCCCAGCACCCGGGATCGAGACCAAGGGACCCGGCACCGCCCAGTCGGGAGACGGCTTGGCCATCGGGGCCACAAGGCCATAGCATGAACCAAGGGCCACCCGCACCGCAACAACAAGCGGGATGGCCAACGTCACATGGCGCGGTTGCGAAGCAGGGACAGCAGGCACCGCCCCAGCAGCCATCGTGGGCATCACCTCACGGCGGAATACAGAAGCCACCGACGCCGTCATCCATGTCGCAGCAGCCGTCATGGGCAGCACCGCCCCCCCCTCAACAGCAGCAGCAACAGCAGCAGCAGCAGCAGCAGCAGCAAGCACCGCCCCAGCAAGCGCAACATCACCTGTCACTGCGAGACGACCGGGGGCCGTCGTCGATGTACGGAGGACCAAGCGGGCACCAACACTCACACTCGATGTCCGGCAGGTTCCCACCAACGTCTCGAGCACCAGAGACGATGGCTCCGCAGGCTCCGCAGGCATATCCGCCGCGCTACGCCACGCCAGGACCGCGCGACCAGGCGCCGCCCCGAAGCTACACACCCGTCTCGGCTTACGATGGCCGGGGTCCGCCTCAATCTCAATATGCGCCTGACCCGCGTGACCTGCAGATGCGACCAAACGACATGGTGCGGGATCACAGGGACCTTAGGGGTGATCCCAGGGATCCCCGCGAGGCGCAACAGCAGCAGCAGCAGCAGCAGCAGCAACAACAACAACAGCAGCAGATGATGGGTCGTCAGCTGCGGCCCCATGATGGCTACGAGAGGCAGCCGGACCGTTTTGGCCGGTAACGCATGTTAGGGACGAGGGCAGGAGTAGGAACGTTGCGTTGTTGGTTAGACGACGTTGGAATAGTTGGCGTTGATTTATTTTCTTTTCGTTCGCGGGGGAGGGAAAGGGGAGGGCTGTCGTTCTTGTTTTTTTTCTCACCGTGTATACAAGTAGTCATGCCCAGAGGACACTGACAGGCGCTCAATAATGGAGTTTTTTCTTTTACAGGATGCATTTCACGAGTCACTTGTGCCTGCTCACCTGCCTACAAGGTAGTCGTAATGGAGCCGCAAGGCAATACAATCCCCACTGGCGTGTACGAATAGGGAAGCCAGCATGGCATGAACTCTTGAGGACGATGTGAAATTATGATACCGATTACGGTATTGAAAGTGTGTAGAGGGCGGCGACACGTGATGCAGCGTGTAAATGAGCGTCAGCCTACAGTTCATGCTGCTGCTGGCTTTGCGTCGGTGGAGGGAAGAGGTGCACTGCAGAATCGGTGCGCTTGGGCCACTTCACATGTCCCCTTAAGTCCTTTCCCCAGGCTCCCAAGGCCCCAGACCTGGCGGTACCTAGTACCTAGCAGCAAGCCGAGCAAGCCTAGCAAGCCTAGCAAGCCTAGCAAGCCTAGCAAGCCTAGCAAGCCTAGGTACCTCCCTAGGTAGGGGCAGGTAGGTGCCCCGCTCCTC